GGGATCCGCCCTTGGTTCAGCCCTCAATCCTCAAGTGCGCGGTGAAAGTAACGTTTGCCCATTAGATCAACGCCTCGCATGGACAACTTCTGGGGCGGCAAAAACGATCTGACGGCAGCGCTGGGCTTTGAAAAGGACGGCATCACTACGATTCTGTTCAGGAAGAAGCTGGACGCCACTGAACCGGCCGATCACTCGATTGAGGAGGACTTGATGCACGTGATCTTCGCGCAAGGCCAAGAGCCGGGTAAGTTTGGGGCGCGTGCAGCCCTCAAATGGCCTGCCTTCACGTTGTCCCGGTTTATTTAGGCCGGTATGTGCACGTCCCCGAGTCGGGGGTGGAGACGCCGCAGGCGTCCCAGAAAGACTTTTACAAGCCGGACGAGCTCAAATACCACGGCCACAGAAACCAGCGCGGAGTGGCCTCGATCAACTTCTTCGGTAAGTTCCTCTACTCCAGTCTCGTTTGGGCATTTAAGAGCCGTTTTTGCTTCAGAGGAGAAAAAGGACGTGATGCCAGCCGGGGCTGGAGCCACCAGCGATTCCGCTCAAAACACCGACTGTGGGGGACTTTGGAAGGTGCCCAAGGGCTGCAGCCCGGAGAACAACACGTGCGAGTACTCGGCCAAGTGGGAGCTGATTCCGCGAAAAGACGAAATCCGGTAAGCTAACCTCACCAAACTTGACTTTGACAGAACATGACTTTGGGTAATGTCATCTACCATCAGTGCAGTAGTAAATTTGCACGAAAAAAAACATCAACAAGAAAGGAAAGAAAAGATAGACATAATGCTCATTTCAGAAACACATTTTACCAAAAAAACAGTACTTTAAAATGCCTAAATACACCGTGTACAACACACAACATCCTGATGGTACCGCACATGGAGGAACCGCCATCATTGTAAAAAACACTATTAAGCATCACCTGCATTCGAGGTATGAAAAAGAATACATACAAGCCACTACCATCGCAGCTGTGTATTGCCCACCAAAGCATGCAATAAAAAAGAGAGATTTTGAGGAGTTCTTTGACACATTGGGACATCGTTTCATTGATTAATTGATTTCTGTGTAGTTGGGAGAACTCCTATAAACCTTCTTCAAGTCAAATGGTGCTTTGAACTCTCATCGGATCACTCGCCAATAATTATAACACTGAGCTCAAAAATAATAACAAACGCAAAACCACCTGCTCCTACCTCAAAACGTACAAACTGGGAAGTCTTCAGAAGCATAATCGAGAAGGACCTAACATTGGATATCGCATTAAAAGCAAATTCGGACATAGAAAACAACACAGAATACCTAACTAATATTATACAACAAATCAACACCGGATTAACAATGTGCGATATGCTGATGATACAGTCATACTAGCCAACAACATAGACGAATTGCAGCGCGTCATGGAAATAATACAGAAAGTGAGTGCAGACCACGGTCTTAACCTAAATATATCAAATACAAAGTGGATGGTGGTGAGCAAAGATCAGACACACAATGAGCGCATTGCACTAAACGACCAGACGATCGAACGTGTGGAGTCATACAAGTACCACCGAGATCCGATCAAGGATTGAAAGAGCTCGAGCATCGTTCAACAACATGAAAGGTGTCTTCACAAGCAAGGATCTAACCCTGCCTCTAAAAATAAGGTTGGCAAAGTGATATTTGTTCCCAATTCTGCTCTACGGAGCAGAAGCATGGACAACGACGGAAGCCATAATGAAAAAATTAAACGCCTTTGAAATGTGGATATACTGCCGTATCCTCAGAATCTCGTGGACTGACCACATAACTAATAAAGAGGTGCTGCAGCGAATTGGGAAAGAGAGACAAATTACACTCACAGTTAAAAAGAGGAAACTGGAATACCTCGGACACATAATGAGACATCAAAAATATCGTCTACTCCAGTTAATAGCTCAAGGAAGGATCAACA